GGGCGCCCGCGGTGCTCCCGCGAAGCGCCCGCCATTCACTCTAGAGGCCACGAGGCTCGGCGGGAGCTCGGTGGTCCCTCCGCGGGCGCCCGCCGATTTGTAGAGTTGCTCATCTACTCCTATTTTTCTGCATTTTTAGTCCCCTTATCCTATTTTTGTGTGGTCTAGCTTCATGCAGAGGGGGGAGCTCGTGATGGAGGTGATAGGGAGTTGGTTTTTGATGGGATAAAGACACACATCTCACATGATCTCACACATCTCTCACTTTGAAAAGCTAAGGAAGGAGAGAAGTGTTCTTGAGCTTGAGTGCAACAATGGAGCTAGGATATTCATCTTCCTTTTCATTCTTTATTTTCATGAGTAACTAAACCTCCATCTCGGGAGGTGCTGAAACTCCACCTTGTAAGCATGCTTAATTTTTTATTTGCTTAGGGGAATGAAATGTATTTTTGCCTAGTTCTATGATCTAGAGCATATTACATATTATAATGAATGTTTGAATGTTTAAATGATTATGTTGCATTAATCACTCTTGTCTTAGATTAATTAATCCCATGATTGTATGGCTTATAGTTTTATAGTGACAATGGACCTAAGATTATAGAGTGGTTTTATTGGCATGGTTTTGAGTAGTTTGTTAATCCATAGCTTAAGAATTTCTTTTGATGGGTTAATCTTATGACTTGATACCATGTGCTCCTACCAATTAATTAATTGTTTGACAATCTCTAGCTTAGTAAGCATGTCTAGGGTTGCACCATAGTTTAGGTAACTCAATCATGTGAAGCTTTGATAGGTTGTTCTTACTCTTTGATTAATTGAATTTCTTGAAGATATTATAGTAGTTATGTATTGTTATATATCAAGGTTATTTCTACATTAATTCCCCAAGTTAATCATATAATTAGTATGTGTAAAGGATTGGAGTGGATTCACTTCCCTAGACTTCTTTTCCTAAATTTCTTCCAATTTACTGTTAATGCATTTTTCAGATTGTAGACTTAGTGACAAACCAACAAATCATTATTACCCCTTTATCATCCTAAGAATGATTCTAGACACTTAGATTGCCATAGACTAGCGCAGTCCCAGTGGTTCGATTTACCCGACCAATAACCCAATTTTACAATGATTCGTGCTATTGCGAAGGTTGATGTATAATTAACAACCGATCAATTTTTGGTGCCGTTGCCAGGGACTTAAATACGGTTTAGCGACCAAAGTTCTAGGGTTAATTTTAGTTTAATTGTGAATATTGTGTCTTGTGAATATTCTTTGTGTGTTTTGATCATCTTTGTGTTGTAAGATTCTAGGGACTCGAAACTCGCCGTGGGAACGCTAGCAAAGTGTAAGTCTAGAGGACCCCAGGTAAGTCTCTTGACTTTTAGTTTTGAATTGTGAATTTCGTGCATGTATTAATTTTAAAAGTAGTTAATTTGCAAGCCCTTGTCGAGGCTATTTTAATTGTGTATTTTCAATTTCGAGCATAGGTCCTTGTCGTGGCTAATTTAATTTCTGTCTTAATAATTGAGGAGAAAGGGAACATCGTATGTGGAGTTGTGGATGATGATTTATTTTGTTGATTATATGCTGTGCTATTGATGTTTGGCTGTAGATCACTTTCCCTACTCATAATCGATTCACCGATTGATATCAATTCTCTTGAAAGAACTCTTAGACGGAACCTTAGGGAATCTACTTTTACAAGGGATCTTGAAACTGAATTTAACATAATGGGGGATAATGTAGGAAATTCGGGGAATGAAAGGTGTAACAATGAAAGGGTTGAAGTTCCCAATGTTGAACCAATGACTCTTAGAGATCATTTCATCCCTACCACCTATGCTTCCCCATCTTACATAGTAATGCCAGACATCGATGCAGCTCAATATGAGATTAAATCTAGTACCATTCAAATGCTTCCATCTTTTCATGACTTTGATAATGAAGATCCATATAAGCATCTCGATGAGTTCCTTGAAATCTGTTTGACCATCCGGTTGAGAGGATTTCCTAAAAACGCACTCCACTTGCATCTTTTCCCATTTTCCCTAAAAGATAGGGCCAAATATTGGTTGAACTCACTTGCTTCCAATTCCATCACTTCTTGGGCTCAATTGCAACAAGAATTCCTTAAGAAGTATTATCCGATGAGTAAAACCAACCAAATAAGGCGTTCCATTCTTAGCTTTTCTCAAGCCGATGGAGAACAACTCTATGAGACTTGGGAAAGGCTACAAGATCTTCTTAGGAAATATCCTCATCATTTGATTCCAAAATGGTAATTAATGCAAGCTTTCTATGCTGGCTTGACCGAACCACATAGATTCATGGTTGACTCTTCTTGTGGTGGGATGTTCAGGTCAAAGAATGCGGCTAAGGCTTGGATCCTACTTGAGAATTTAAGCGAAAATTCACTTCAACATAATTCTCGTAGGGCTCCGGCCTCAACCAATGCAAAGAACACCAACCTTTGTCAACCAAAATCAATACGGGAGGAATCATCTCAAGTGGATGCCATAGCTCATAAATTCTACCAATTAATGGCACCACATCTCTCTCCTTCATTGTCTCAAAATTTGACAAGTTCGGTATGCTCATCATGTACTAGTCCATTCCATTTTACGGAAGATTGCCCCACATCGGAGTAATTTTTCAATCCCAATCAAGAGCAAACAAATGCCATGTTCTCAAGACTCGGGAGTAATCCTTATTCCAATACCTACAATCCAGGTTGGAGAGATCATCCAAAATTTTCATGGCGGTAACAAGCCCCATAAAATTCCCAATTCCAAAGTTAAAGGAACGAAAATCAGCCCTCTTCTCAATATCAAGGTAGACCATTTCAAGCCTCTTTAAGCTACCGTCCTCCTTACAATCCAAATGTTTCCAATCAACCTACTGTGTATCCAACTGATGAGATAGTAGCTGCAAACAAACAAATGGGATTTGACTGTATTGAAATGACTAATAGAGTTTCAAACCTTAAGCATATTTGGAAGATTTGTTCTAAAAGAAGGAGCCTGCGGGTGGACTGGATCTATAGGTATCTTATCAAAAACAAAAGTTTCTGGGCAATCAAAGCTAACTCAACCAGTTCTGCCTTTTGGAGGAAGCTCCTCAAACTTAGAGACATGGCAAGAGGGTTGATCAAGCACAGAGTTGAAGTAGGCATGGATACTATGATGTGGATTGATTTTCGGTTGCAAAAAGGTGGGCCTTTCTGAGATGAAAATTCTTCAACTTGACACAAATGTTAAAGTGGATAGCCTAATTTCCAATACTCAGTGGGTTGTTCCAGCCTCCCTTCAGCACATACAATTCCTACAGTCACACTCCTTCAACTCCCAAATCCAAAGCTTGCAACCTCCATCCCCTCAACCTGACTTGATCGAATGGTTACCAAGTCCTCCTATTGGATTCTCTCAAAGACACACTATGGATTACTTCAGCCCTCACTCACTGATGTTCACTAGGCATAACCTCCTTTGGTTCAAGCACCACATCCCCAAACATAGTCACATCCTCTGGTTAGCAATCAAAGGGAGACTCTACACTCCTGATACCAAACCAATGAAGCACAAGCACTACACCAATGCCTGCTTTCTTTGCATGTCTGATTGGGAACCAATTGATCATTTATTCTTCAAGTGCAAATTCAGTATTCCCATTTGGGAGTTCATCCAAAATGTTGCTGGATTCTACATCAAACCTGATTGCTGGGCTGATCTCATTTCATGGTGCTCAACTACATGGTGCAACAAATACTTCATTACTCACAAGCTCCTTCTGTCTGCTGCTGTATACTTCATTTGGACTGAAAGAAATGCCAGAGCCTTTAGGAATAAATCAACCAGTGCTCAACACATCATTTGTCTTATTAAGGGCTGCATCAGAACAAGGCTTGCTTCAATGGCACTGAGGAAGAGGACTGAGCTTTACCAGAAAGAGACTATGGATGAACTACATAATCTTTTTCTTGAAGGCTGTGCTTTTGCAGGACACTCATGGCGCCTATCAGAGTAATCCATGTCACAATTGCTTGGTTAATGTTGTCAGTTTGCCTTATGGTTGCTCTTCTGAGCTTCTTGTTAATTAGAGCAGTTTGGTCCTGCTGCAGTTTGTTGTGGAGGTCTGTTCATGCTACTGCTTAGGTTGGTTGTGGATTTGTGTTGTTTTCTTTTCACTATGTATTGTTGTCTCTCCCCCTTGGATGGAGATTCTTGTGCTTTCTTTTCTTTCTTCAATGAAGCTTATCCTTTAACTAAAAAAAAAAAAAAAATTGGCTGCACACAGCCCTACATCTTTATATTACAAGTATAACATCTTTATATTACGCATATAGGGAATAATTGAATCACCTCTGCGTCTCATTCCAGAAATTGAATCATTAAAATAATTTGATTTGAATGTTCAATTTTGTTAAGCCTCCATTTCTTCTTTAACTCTGTTACGTGGTGAAAGAATAAAAATTTAATCTCAGACGCTTGAGAAAATGTGATTGTAACTATAAGTAAACTACTATTTTTAACGTTAGGAGATACTAATATTAGTAACAATTTAAATTTCAAAAAGTAATTTATTTTTAAAGGTTAGTGGTAATTATGGTGGTAAGAATGAAAAACAAAAAGTTAAAATCATACACAGAAACGGACCTTGTTAGCGTAAGTGGGGGGCACTTGACCCCAACTGAATTTTTATATAGTATTAATTTTACCTATAAATTTTTAGGTAAATTATATAAATGCCTCCATAATTTTTATCTTTGCCCCTATATACATATACATATTTTTTCTCTTCTCCTCCCAAAATTGCACGTGTACACCTTTTACCTGAAAACTTAATTCAAAAATTCAAGAGCTAAAGAAAATACCACTAAGTTACTAATCTTAGTGGTATATTTAGTAGTGTTATAACATTTTAAAAATATAAAACTAGTTGAATACAATATTATTTTAGTTAAATCTTACACACATAGCATAACATAAGATGAGTTTTTTTTTTTTTTTTTTTTTTTTTTTTTTTTTTTTTTTTGCCAGTAAAAGAAATCAACAATTATGTACTTAACATAAGTTAGTCAACTAGTGAATTGCCCAACCGTTATTATTTCAAAAAGGTATCAAACCCTAATTAGTCTATATATAGAGGAAACGGGTGAAAACAACAATAGAAAATTCTGTGCCCCAAGTCAAAACACATTTTATGAAATTAGAGTAATATCAACATGTTTTTTTTTTTCGCCTTTTCATCTTTGTAACTACATGAAAATTAACAATCCAAACAGTTGTCTATAATCCTAAAATCACTTGCTTGATCTTCTCCGCATCGCCGCCAGTGACCAACGCCGGGACCGTCAACCTCAGGTCCCCATACACGACCACATTCGCCGACAAGGCCTCAGCCCCATGCATCTCAAATACTTCAACGATTTGATCTCGAACAACACAATTCCATTGGAGAAGGAAATGTGGACAAAGAAATTCCCAGCCCCAGATGACGACGCCTGCTTCTTCAGCCCCTCCAGCCTCTCTCTGTCTTTCTCAAGTTGTCCAATAAATTCAATTGTATTCGTAAGAGTCTTCTCCTTCGTTGCCTGTGATTGTGTGTGTATATGTGTATATAACATTAATATGTATGTGTGTTTGACAATAAAAGAGAGATTCAACAACTAAAAGAACAGAGATATAGAATTGAATTACTTAGGGTTGGGATTGGGGAGGAGGGATTTAAGAACAAAGTACATTTTTGATTCCTCCTCTCTATTGACACGTTGATCAAGTACACTCTTCTTCACGTGAGAGTCATCTCTGCTTCGATCAGCGCCATTCGGCAGAGTCATGGTATCCCTCCATGATTTCCTCAAGAAATTTACTTCTTCTTCAATTATATATGAATTAGAGAGAGACTGGATCCATCTGCCTCTTACAGTTTTACTCTAGCTTGAAAACTTTACCTAGTGCTCCCTAAAATATGAATGTGAGTAAGACTTCTTTGACTATTCCTGGGAGATTCCCCTGCTCTCTGGAATCTGACATGCAGTCACGGAAACTGTATTTCCCTCTGGACAATGCCGTAAATACCGTAGCATAAAATATAAAAAAATATTTAATTCAAGCACTTGTGTATAAAATGTATGCGGAGTACCAACAGGCCTGTGATCCAACGGTACAAAGTTCCTACTTTTCAAAGGAAGATCAGAAGTTCGAACCTCAATAGAGACAATGTGTGTGAGTCCCAACTAGAAATATATATATATAGCTGTATGCTTGTTTGGTGATAGTGTTGTAACGGGAAAAATGCTTCTAATAGTAAAACTGCCATAGAACTTTTGTTAGCATTAATTATATTAATTGTTTGGTGATACATTATGTGAAGGCTTTTTTTTTTCATAATTAAAGTACTTTTAATTTATTTGTAAGCAATATCATTTAAAGCACTTCTATTATTAATTTTACAATAATGCTTATTAATGTAATGCTTTATATTAGATAATAGTGGGACATTATAAAAATGGGAAGAAAATTGTCTTTATAAATATAAAAATAGGAATAAAATCGCCTAAAGTAAAAAATATATATAAAAAATACAACATCTAGTCAAAACACAATTTTATAAACACAATTTTATGCTTCGGATTAAAGAATAAGAACAAAGCAATCGTGGTTGTCAAACGAGCCCTAAATCATACTCATATTTTTAGGCACGGACAATAATAAAGGATTAACATCTACTATATAATACTAATACAAAATAATAAAAGGGTTAAAATCCACTATATATGTAATTTCATATTACGTAGTGTGATGAACTTAATCTAAAACATAATCTATGTCTAAATTAACTCATATTCTAAGTCTAAACATCTAGTTATTCCTAATGATGAATCTTCTTAAAGGAATAATTAATCTATCTCCTTCTAGAACCCAGTCCTCACACTGGATTCTAATAAACGATGAACACACATAATCATCAAAATTTACACAAAAACAAATAACACCACATTCAATCAATCAGTTAAGATCACCAAATTGTCTTTCAATTGATATCAACAAGCACACAAGACAACACAACATATTATGTGAGAGTACACTTAATTACATGTAAATAAAAGTAAGACATGCTCCTTTATACAATTACACAAAAATACAAACATTTGCAAGTGATCAGCCAAAAATATTCAAGTTTAGTGGATTTTGGGGGGAGAAAAGGTATGTTGTATTGACTACAAGAAGGAACTACTATTGTATCAGAAAACAAATTTTGTTCGTGAATATACAACATTCAGCCTTTTCTCTGACTGGAATTACCGAGTGGAAGGGATGAGGACTCCCACTCTAATTCCTCCTAATTGGGTTTCACCTTGTCATCGTACCTTCAAACTATAATAACCAAACAAGAAGAAAATCAACATGCTTATTGCTCATTTGCTAGATTGGAATACTCAAAGCATTAAGCCTCCTGGGGTTTAGAACATGTTTAATAAAATGCAAAAGTCAAAATATTATGAAATGTATGAAAGAGTATTTCAATCATCTCATATTTGATTTTAATATATATATATATATATTTGAAAGGTTTGATCATAATATTTTGTCACACAGAATCAACACACAAACAATTCTATTAACATAAATTCAACAAGACATTTTATGAGCAATAAATTCTAAATAAACAAAAAAATTATTTTATACCTTTACCGATACTGCTCATTCCAATTAATTTCCTCTAGTAAGAAATAAACCTAATCTGCATTAAAAGAAACTTTGTCACATAAAAATTTCAGAGCTCAGAAGTAAAAAATCATAAATAACACAAGACACACTTCAAATACAAAACTCATCAAGGAATACAAATAAGAGATGAACCAACAAAAAATGATTAGGAACAAATCACTATAAAGAGAGCAAATGCTTATAGTATGGAGTTGTAATTATGTAATAAAATCATTCGAAATAAAAACAAAGAAAAAATACTGTAAATAGAATGAGAGAAAAAGAGAATTACCGGCTCTACTAGATGAAAAGTAGAGAGAGCAAATGAATGCTCAAACAAGTGAACCATGAAGGGGCCTTGGGGTAGCGGTGGGTACTGTTAACGGGCCTGACCTCCAAATTTTAGAGAGAGAAAGATAATGCAAGGGAGGAATCTCGATATTGAAAGGAGGATGTTGCGTCTTCACTCTTCATGAAGGGGCCTTGGGTTATACTCATATTTATAAGTGGCATTGAGAGATTTCTTAGAAATAAAACTAAAAAGAAAAAGAAAAAAGTTTTAAATTTACGTTATTGTTTTTATTGAGAGATTTCTTAGAAATAAAACTAAAAAACAAATTATGATGTTAATAGTCTTTATTGACTCCATATGTACGTTATTGTTTCTTATAAACTTTTATCTATTCCCTACACCTATATTTTAACTTACTTTTCTAATGTGTGTATAGTTTCAAAAGTGACTATAACATTTTTTTAATAGTTCCATTGATTGCATATGAAAAGTAGTCAATTACTCTTGCCAGCTGCGTGAAGATATGAAGGGTAATCAATAAAGGCTATCTGACTCTGACCGTACTGAGTGTCGGATGGTCCTTTTTCATAAAGCTGTATTTGATTTGCAACTTCAACATTTTCTTTTGATCCCATTCTCCAAGAAAGATGCTTGGCATGCGTAAAAAGCAACATTCTCCTTCCGTGGATGTTATTGTGTTTCTATATCCCTCTCTCTCTCTCTCTCTCTATATATATATGATTTATAGAATAAATGTGGTCAACATATCCATGATTCTATATATGCACGTACTCAACATTTACCCAAAAAAAAAAAAAAAAAAACACAGATCCATATGATTTTGAGGAATGCATTATAGAGGGTGTTGTGTCTTCACTCTTCATGAAGGGGCCTTGCGGGTTATACCCGTATTTATAAGTGGCATTGAAAGATTTTTTAGAAATAAAACTAAAAAGAAAAAGAAAAAAGTATTAAATTTAAAGATAGAGAACAGATTATGTACGTTAATGGTTTTCTAATATATAGATAGATACCTCGGCAAACTTCAGATCTGCTTTAACGGAAAGTAACACCGGCTTTCTCGTCGGACCACCTCCTTTCTTTGCCTTTCCACGAATCTTTATTTATTTGCACTCAAACGACTAGAGAGAGGAAAAGGGAAAACAAAGGACTTTCTCTGGAAACAAACATATCCATCCATTATATATGGGGTGTGCTTTCTTATTCTTCGTTGGATTTGGAACTAATCGACAGCTGTGGATGGGTAGATTGGTGATCCGTGTACCCTGAAATGAACCTATGAAATGTAGTGGACTACCACTACCTCCATTTATTTATTTATTTTTCAATATTAAAAAATAGTGAATAAAGATTGTGATTACAAAATACATCATTAAAGTATAGGTTATATGTTCCGATACTTTGTCTTTATTATTCACATATTAAAGTATTAAAAAAATAAGCCTAAACTTTCATTTAGGTTTGGTTAATTTTGCCCCCCTTGTACTTAATTGTTATAAAAGTTAAAAGTCAACTAAGTAAAAAATTATAATTTACAAAATAATAAAATAAGATAAAAATTTAGATAATTATTTTGAAATTTAAATAAAAATATATTTATGACTCGTATAGTTAAATGAGGTGTAAACATGTTACAAAGGTTGAACTTTTCAACCTAAACATGACACGTTTAATTAAACGAGTTAATCGTATTAAACTGTTATAATCAAAATCTGTTTAAAGTTAACCCAAACCCACTTAACTCTTGTCGTATTCAAGTCGTGTTGGCAGGTTGTGTCAAACTTTTATCGCCCTAGGCGTGGCCGCCCTCCTAGATTTAGAGAGCTTTGTCAATTTGAATTTCGTTACCGGAATGAATTATGTTCTTCCATTAACAGCTAATCTTGCCGTTAATGGTGGTTAACTGGTTACCATGGTGCTTTAGTTTGGGCTTGTCCCTGGGTTGGGCTTTGCCCTTGTTTGTCTGAGGCCTGTACTCCTTTTTTTCCAGGCCCAAGGCCATCCATTGTATATTCTAATAACCTATGGAAGTTGCTTAAATTTTTCGAAAAAAAAAAAAACAGAAAATTTGAAACTAAAGTGTCAGACCATGCAGCTTTTATTGAATACATATCTTTTGCATGCGTTTACAGCTTTTATTGAACTACACTGCGAGGTCTCTCTGTCACTTTGTCAAAAAAATAGAGTTGAAAGAATCACACATAAAAATGAAAAAGGCATAAAATTGATTGCCAATATCTTTCGAGATTTGGCTTTGCAGATGAGGCAGGGAAGAGAGAGACAAAATTGGAGTGATGGTTAATTTGTAACTCAATGGAGGCTCACAGTAGCAAGAGTTGGTTAAAGTGAGCTTTTGTGGTTAGATTACAACTGGAGATGGGACCTTTACAACACTTCTAGCAGTAAAAAGTACGTATGTGCAAAATAGCAGTTGGTGAGACATTAACGAAGACAATTTCTTGTCAAAAAAAATTCAAAAATATAAAAAAAATTAGATAAATAATTTTTAATCAAAAGACGTATATAGTACACAAATAAATTTATAAAAACAAGGTCAAATTAGAGCAAGTGTAACTAATTTCAACAAAAGTTGATCGACTTTAAAACGTGAATTATCATGTCAAATTTTTTATTCAAGTCAAGTTCTCTAAACATGATTCATATAAATTAAAAAATGATTAGGACAAATTGCATAAAACCCTCTCTCCTTTCAATATTTTGAAGGAAATCCCTTTCCAAATTTTTTTTATTTTTTTATTTTTTTTTATTTTTTTTTTAAGCAACCCCAACTTCTGTGTTTGTTGCAACACTATCCCCTAATGACCAAAATGTCCCTTAATATATATATATATTGCCCCCTAATCTAATATTAAAATTAATATAAATAACTCATTCATCATAGTTTTATTAAATATTATTTTCAAAAATTAAAAATTAATGGTGCATCTATAAAAATTAAAAAAAAAAATACCTTGGATTTTTAAATTTTTGTAATTTTTTTTTTTTTTTTTTTTTTTCAAAATAAAAAAGGAAAAAGAAGACAGTGTGTAATTTTTAAAATTTTCTTAAAGTTCCATTTTTAAAAAGGAAAAGAAAACCTAAAATAAAAATCATTCAAGAAAAACTCTAAGGGGCATTTTCATCATTAGGGTGCATTGTTGCAACAATAAAAAATGTTAGGAGAGTTTTATGTTAAATATTTTTGAGGGGTTTCATGCCAAAAATAGAAAGTATAGAGGGTTTCATGCAATTTGCCCGACAGATATATGATAGAAAATTGGGCCTTACAGTATTTTTTTGATTTTAGGCCCTCTTTCTGTGCTTGTCCAGTACAGCCTTAGTTCAATTAGAACAAATAAAATGAGAAACTAAAAATGTCTAAAAGCTCTCCAAAATGAATCTGAACTTTCAATCCTATATATATGCACACACACACAAACACATATACATGCTGATATTCCCACAAACTACCATCCAACAAACCATTATAAGCAATAAGCATGTTATATTTTTCTATTGACTTAACATTTTAATTTTTCTCCATATTAACCTGCCCTTCCTTTCTCCATATTAATTTTCCACAAACTTAGCATGTTAGTAAAGTAATTTGTTTTCCACTTTGTTCACTTCATATTTCATATTGTGAGCTTCTGAACAATATATATATATATATTTTTTCTATGAACCAAACCTAATATACTTATTTGAAATTTTTAAGTACAACATAAACAAATAAATTAAGATGTGAATTTATAAGGGAACAAAAAATGAAAAGCGAGATGAATATGTTGGCAGAGGGGGTATGAAACCTGCCAATTGCTGAGTAATAAATCTATTTCTCTTGAATTCATATATATATATATATATATAAATGGAGTAAATAATTGAATATAACTGCCGTAAATTTTGGAGATGCAACTGTTTTTCTTTTCAATTTTATTTTATTTTTTATCTTTTTAACTTCACTATCAATCAAAAATATTTGGGGTTAATTTCATAGACACCCCCTAAGTTTGGCTAAATATCACATTTAAACAATTTTCAAAAATTACTATCACCTAGATCCAATTTCAATTTTCTGTCACTAACACCATTAAAAATGTGTGAAAAGATAATTTTACCCCTAGTTTTTTAATATTTATTATTCCAAAATGTCAAAAAAAAAAGAAACTAAAATACCATTACTCTCTTTTTATTTCTCAATTGCTCTTTCTCGTTCTACACCCAAAACTCACCTTTTCTCCCTATGCTACACCCAAAACTCACCTTTCCTCCTCTGCTACACTCAAAACTCACCTTTCTGGTGATCCATATATATACACATATATATATGTGTTCTCCGGAAAACCAAACCTAAAAGAAACAAAAAAAAAAAAAGCGAAAGAAAATGGAGTGCACACTTGTGATACCCCCAATTTTCACGTGTAGATTGGTCAGGCCCACACACGAAAACAGGGAATATTAAAACAATTAAATATTTAAGGATAAATTGCACTCACAACCCCTGAGATTTGAGTTAACACCACTCAGCAGTCGGTCAACACACTAATTTACATTGACACCCCTTAAGTTTCAAAAGTCATATTTACCATTGAACATATTAATTGACAAAAATAACCCTAACCAATATTCTTAATCCCCTCCCACCCACCAACGCCACACCCTTACACCGCCACCTACACCGCACACCCACTGTCACATCGACACACACACTGCCACAACCACCGTCACACATACACTGCCACGACCACCGTCACACACACACACACCGCCACAACCACAACCACCTCCATAACCACGCATACAACCACCACTATATAGCAGCAGCGCCATCACCGACACCACAACCAGTGCCACAAACCACTGCCGCCATACCCATACACACCGCCACACCCACACCCACACCCACACGCGCACACACACACCACCAAGACGAACCCATTCTCCCTCAAGGTTAAACTCGCCCAAATACTTTGCGGCGGAGCAATTGTCGAAAGTCCCCAACTCCGACCAAGCCAAGATCGCCGAATTCGCCACCGCCATAACACCTTAACTTTACTAGACAGCACCACCGTCAGTCGACGCCATCAATTCTGGCGGCTAATTGAGTAGAAGGGGATCTGGTTTGGAGATGAAAGGTAGAGGCCAAATCCTTAATCCAGAAATTGCCTTGACCCTAGGAGATTTATACTCATACGTTGTAAAAGCCGGTGACACAACAACTAAAAAAGGAGATTGAAGAAATGAGGGAGCACGTCATCGGGTAGAACGGGGCGTAGCTTCTCTGACTTGTGAAACAACATCTTACTCTTTCAGTAGTACTTACAAAAGACATTGACTAAGCAAATCATCATCTATGGCAGATCGAGGGGTTCAAATTAGGAAGAAATGCTATAAGGAAAGTGAACAGTTCCTGCTTAACCGTTTCACACTGTTCTTTTTTCTTTAGATTGTGATCGCCGCTGCTGATAAAGGTGTATTGTGTAGGGTTAGAGAGATGTAAAATGAAGGGTATTTTGGTCCTTCAAAATTTAGTTTACAGGGTTATATTAGTAGTTTACGCTTTTTATGTATTTGTTGACCAAGTCAAAGGTTAAAATAGTTATTTTCTCAGGTTGATGGGGTGTGTATTAACACTTTTGAAACCTCAGGGGGTGTGAGTGCAAATTACTCAATATCTAAATAAGCACATAATTAAGAAATGAATAACTAATAATAAATAAACCGTTGAAGGAAAAACTAATAAATGATAATTCTCATAATTAATAAAACTTCAAATTAAAATCCCACATGAAATATATCTTCCAAAATATATTATAACATTCTCTCAGTGAAAGAACCACAATACCCTTGGTATAACTCACTATTTTGTCCTTTAGTGCATATGCAATTTACAGCTTGTATCTGGATGTATATCAGCAATATATATCAAGCTTGGTCCCTAAGAAATGCATAACGGACCTTGTTCTCTCATAGTAAGACCACATGACACGTGTCATAAAGTTGTTCGTCATTTGCAATGAGCAAAATACTCCTCGAATGGACACTCATCACTATATATACAGAAAATTGTTGCTGCAGGCAATTGTGTATACTTAATGAAATTGAGATTATGTGCAATTCAATACAATTTAGT